CAGTTGGGTCAACACCTGCAAAAAAACACAATAACTCAAACCAAATAAGTTTTGATACAACATTAGTTTTCAACTATGTAAGGTGATTTTCATAGTGACATATTACCTACCTAAATAAAGGGAACAAAGGAATGTGAAGTCCAACTTAAAAACCATTGTATACAACCTAAACTTGAGAGGAGGAGGCTATCCAATACAGATCATAGGTCCAAGATTTTCAATACCATCATCTACAAGCAAGTGATACCCCGCAAAAACATCATCAAACGATACAATAAACAAATTACATAACTCATACTTTAAATTAATATTCATCGACATCATAACACCAACAACAGAAAGGAACGAAAGAAGAGGAAAAATGGAGAAAATAGGGGACGTGAATAAGAAGATGGAGAACAAAGAAGTTATAATCCCTATAAGTTGAGTAACCATAAAGAAAACTACATGCCTAAAACAAGACATAAGAATAGGCAGTAACATGGGCATACTAAGAACTAAATAACAATACACGCCGCATATTTTAAGTCCAGATAGCAACAATAGTATGTATTGCTATTATTCTGACTGGGGGCTTAATGGAGGGCCCTGCCTCCTAAAATACGAATAACATGAAAGAAGCATGGCCAACGAATCCAGGTGCATTATTAAAGTAGGAGGACAACAAGAAAATTCCGAGCAATGTTACATGAAAGCAAGATCCAACCAAAACCCTTAAAATAAGTGCAAGGACCACGACTTGTATTATTTTATGAGTTCCCTAAAAACACTCAAACAATACCCACAAACAAAATATGAATGTAAGTACATATGGTCATCCCCCGACCAAGGTAGCAAGCTATATAAAGCAGTGAGGCACAATTACAAGGAGGTAACTAGTTTCACCTTAGTATTTCATTCGTACAATAATATTAAGACATGATAGACCTAACTTAGGCATCATAGAGTATTATCAGGATTAATACTGGTAATGCTATTGCCCTTAGAAATCTTTATTTCTAGGAACATCCAGTCAACTCCAATAAGCGCTTGAATGAGAAAGGAAGTCCATAGAGTCAGCGAAGCATCAAGGCTAAACATCTTAATACATAATGTGAAAATGAACAAATGCAACAAATTTTGTTACTTGAAAAGGTAATATAATACGTTTGCCAAGTTGAGACACATTACATATATTTGAGATTGTTTTCTCTATACAAGAAATTAAATTACGAGAAATAAATGTTGAAAGACTTGATGAGTGGGATTAAGGCTGAATATGGTACGGTACCAGTTTATTTTTACTTAAACCGTGTACCATACCAACAATAGTTGATACATAATTCTTGCTACCAGTACCATACCAAGTATACTTGGTACCAAATCGTTTGACTACCAACAAGTTTGGTTGGTACAAGTTGGTAATTGTATATTACCAACTTCTTTTTTAATTTTTAACTGTAATTGTTAAAGACCGACAACAACATAGGACAATTTTTCATCTAGTACTATAAATTAGTAAGTAACTATTTAGTTACTAGATAATTTTATGAACTAACTTTGAAGTAAATTTTTAGTTTTTTAATTCAAGATGGTAATAACTACTGGCTACGCCTAATATCTAATATCATGCTTTTAAAATTATAAACAGTAAACACTTGAAAGTTGAAAATAGGATTTTATATATATATATATATATATATATATATATATATATATATATATATATATATATATATATATATATATATACAAGAAATTAAATTACGAGAAATAAATGTTTTCTCTATACAAGAAATTAAATTACGAGAAATAAATGTTGAAAGACTTGATGAGTGGGATTAAGGCTAAATATGGTACTGTACCAGTTTATTTTTACTTAAACCGTGTACCATACCAACAATAGTTGATACATAATTCTTGCTACCAGTACCATACCAAGTATACTTGGTACCAAATCGTTTGACTACCAACAAGTTTGGTTGGTACAAGTTGGTAATTGTATATTACCAACTTCTTTTTAATTTTTAATTGTAATTGTTAAAGACCGACAACAACATAGGACAATTTTTCATCTAGTACTATAAATTAGTAAGTAACTATTTAGTTACTAGATAATTTTATGAACTAACTTTGAAGTAAATTTTTAGTTTTTTAATTCAAGATGGTAATAACTACTGGCTACACCTAATATCTAATATCATGCTTTTAAAATTGTAAACAGTAAACACTTGAAAGTTGAAAATAGGATTTCATATATATATATATATATATATATATATATATATATATATATATATATATATATATATATATATATATAGAGAGAGAGAGAGAGAGAGAGAGAGAGAGAAAGAGAGAGAGAGAGAGAGAAAGAGAGAGAGGTAGGTTCAAATGTTTCTCACATGTATTGTGTGCTAGAATGCACCAATAGGAATTTAATATTAATTATATGTATATTAAATGCTATCCATATTTATAACTCATTTCTATGGAAACTAATTAAATTCGTCATTAATGTCAACAATAATATTCTTTTAGGATGAATTCATATCTACAAGAATGAGAGTGTATTCCAGCAGAATGAGAGTGTATTCTAGTAGAATACACTCTCGTTCTTCTTATTCCATGAAACTTTATTGTATTTTAAGTGAGTAAGTCCTGAAACAAAATACGAACTCATATATAAAAACCTAGATGGGAATTCATTTTGAAAGAATATTATTGCTGACATTAATGACGGATTTAATTAGATTCCATAAAAAAAGAATTATAATTATGGATATCATTTAATATACATATAATTATGGAAATAATTTAATATCTATATTTATTTAATTAAATAATTATTTAATTTACTAACTTCCTATTGGTGCATTGTAGCACACAATAAATGTAAAAAATAAAATAACCTAGCCGTATTATATATAGAGGTAGGTTCAAATGTTTCTCACATCTATTATGTGCTAGAATGCACCAATAAGAATTTAGTATTAATTATATGTATATTAAATGCTATCCATACTTATAATTCATTTCTATGGAACTAATTAAATTCGTCATTAATGTCAACAATAATATTTTTTCAAAATGAATTCACATCTAGAAGAATGAGAGTGTATTCTAGTAGAATACACTCACGTTCTTCATATTACATGCAACTTTATTGTATTTTAAGTGCTTGAGTCCTGAAAAAAAATACGAACTAATATATAAAAACCTAGATACGAATTTATTCTGAAAGAATGTTACTGCTGACATTAATGACAGATTTAATTAGTTTCCATAAAAAAAGAATTATAATTATGGATATCATTTAATATACATATAATTATGGGAATCATTTAATATCTATATTTATTTAATTAAATAATTATTTAATTTACTAAATTCGTATTGGTGTATTTTACGACACAATAAATGTAAGAAACAAAATAATCTATATATATATATATATATATATATATATATATATATATATATATATATATATATATATATATATATATATATATATATATAGTATCAAATCGTACAAATAAATAACTTTATACCTATAAGAAAAATCTTCCCGCCAATATATAAGCAAGGACCTACGGTAGATTTTTTTACACGAAAATAATCAAATCATGAATCAGTGTTTATAACTTACGTTAGTACGTACCAAATGTCTATATAGGTAAAACGTAAAATTAAAAAAAATTACAATATATATATATATATATATATATATATATATATATATATATATATATATATATATATATATATATATATATATATATATATATATATAGTGAGGTTCAATAGAGAACCATAATTAACCAAGGAACCAAGGAACCAATCTTTTTCTCAATTTTTAGAACTTATTTTTTATCAAAAAAAAAAACTAAAAATACACAAATTCATAACTTTTTATCCTTTTTTCCAATGATATCAAATTCGATTTTTTTTTTTTTACGTCAAATTCACAATGTGAATCCAGATTCACACGGTGAATTCGAAAAATATTTTTCACATTCACAATGTTAATATATGAATTTAGAAATTGAAAAAAAGATTTGGTTATTTGAAAATCAATAATTATGGTTCTCTATTGAGTTTTTCCATATATATATATATATATATATATATATATATATATATATATATATATATATATATATATATATATATATATTATTTTTTTACATGGTTAAACGGTATAACAAGTTCCACTTGAGGAAGTCAGTTTTCCTCTTCATGGAAGCAAAACAATATTGAAGTAATCGAGAAATTTGCTTCCTCCATCCCCTTCACAATCAACCAATGGCGTCATGACAAACATTGCAAACGCCGACAACCACCGTGAGATTCGCCACCTCTATTACGTTCATCAGGCGGGTCCCGTACCCGTTGCCTTCCCTAACTCATTCCCCAGCACCCACACGTGCATGCATGGCCCTCTTTGCACTCTTTAACACAAAATCTGCTCACTATCTTAAACACTTGCAAGTCCACGCTCTTACGTTATTGTCGCTTGTAAGTTCACACTCTTATGTTAACGTTTTATTTAAATGATAGATTTCAATTTCATTCATTATAATTTTTTTCTGTTTTATTGAAATCGTAAATGAACATAATGTGTAAAAATTATATGTGACATCTAATACGCTATAGTTTTCAAACAATAACTATAATCTAATATTTTCACTATAATCAAAGCTATTTTGTTTTGATTTGAATATATATAATTTGAATGTATCTGGATAAAATATAAAGTGATTGATTATACTAAAGTAATCGTTTATACATCCCAAGGCAAATCAAAGACAGCCAATATTTCTCCACCCAATATAACCACATCACCGTCTCTCACTTTCTGACAGGAAACACCTTTTTGCACGCACTGATTCCTCTTTCAGCTTCACACACATCTCCCTTCATCAAGTTCACACACAGCGAAAAAGAATCAGTGTGGTTTGAATGTGGACGAATAAAGGATTCCAGTTGAACCTTTATGAACTTGTATTTTTTTAAGAATGGAAAGAGGATGGAAGCCCAATGTGGAGATTTGTCCACCATGTCCTCGTTGTGGTTCATCCAGTACCAAATTTTGCTACTACAACAATTACAGTTTGACTCAACCAAGATACTTTTGCAAAGGGTGTAGAAGATATTGGACTAAAGGTGGCTCACTCAGAAACATCCCCGTCGGTGGTGGTTGCCGGAAAACTAGACGAGCTAAGTCTATTCGTATCTCAGATATGGTGAACTCTCAGAGCTTTCATGCCCATGGTGGTGATGGAACAACAGATTATGGAGGTCGTGGTGGCAACATAGAAAACCGTGGCAATGGTATAGGTGGTGGATCGACAATGGTGCAGCCTACAAATATTGATCTCCAACAAGTTTACACAAATTTTCTAAATCAAAGGCCTCAAACTGTTCATCATGAACAAACGCATGATGAAGTTTTGCATAGTGAAGTTGATCCGATGTTGTCATTTGGGTTTCCAAACATCCCGAATATGGAGATGGAGTTTGGTGGGACTAATTATGGATCAAATCTGGAGAGTTTTTTAAGAGATGGGAATGGAATGCAATTTTGTGGGTACAATTCAGTTTTCAGTAATAATGAGGAAGATCAAGAGAAAAACTACTTTGGTGCAAGTGGTATAAGCAGTTGTGGGTTGCCGCCGTTGCCTGGAGAGGAAATGGGGTGGTCGGAGTCAAATATTGGGTTCTCGGAACATGTTTTGAACTCAACGATTGAACCGGAAGGCCATGTTTCTGGTGAATGTCCTGTGAAGATGTTTGATATACCGCCGAATTCTGATACAATTTTCAGGCCGTGAAATAGTTAATTAAATGGGGTGTTGCAAAATTTGATTTTTCTGTGTTTTATATCTATTGTATTTTATATTGTAATTAGATGTACCTATTGATTGAAATCGATCGAATATAGCAAAACGTGAGCTGATGGAGAAAAATCTTGAAGAGTTTTTTGGTTGTTTTATTCAATCTTGTGCAGAAAAAACAAGGAAAAGTCTTGATCTAACGTGGCATGGTTAATCTAGGTTTAAAGTGCCAAGTGTTATTGAAATGGTGGCTCTTCAAATATTTGAGCAGAAATTAGAGGATTGTGCTTCAATATACAAAATATAGAGGTTAAAGAAGCTAACTCACTACAAAAATTATGGGCATATCCGGGACCACAAATGTAGCCGTTAAAGCCTTTTTCAACGACACATCACCGTTGTTACCTCGCCGCTAAGGGCATCCACAATGCATTGAACTCTATGTTCTTTCTATAATCCAAACAACTCTATCATTTTTTTCCTACAATGCATTGAACTCTACAAAGTTCAATAGAATGTTATAAAATGTAATTGATAGTAAATATTTAAGAATTAAAAACTTTCATTTTCCCTATTGAAGAGTTCAATGACCATTGAACTCCAAATCTATTGAATGCCAAGGTGACATCTCACAATGGTAGAGTTTCATCCATTGAATGACACAGACTTGTCACCTCATTGAACTCTCTCATTGAACTCACCATTATAGATGCTCTAATACCTACTTTGTCACAGCTACTTGGTCCCCGCTATTGCCATTCATCACCTTTAATATTGTGGTCACTAAAGGCGATTTCATAAAAGAAAAATTATAGTAGCTAATATTATAGTATTTATATAAATTATTATTTAAATCTATAAAAGCAATATTTAAATTTCAAAAATACATAATCCACGATATTATATAAAATACTTAATATAAAATTCATAATATAGTGAAGTCATTCGTAGACAAACTTAAAACATTAACAAAATTCAAGGGCTTCAGCCTCAGATTATTTCGGATTCCTTTAAAATATTATCCGGCGATCATGTAGCGTTCCTTGATGCTAAATCTTTTATGGAGGAGATAAAAGAAGCGGTGTGGAATTGTGGTAGTGATAAAGCCCCAAGGCCTGATGCTTTTGCTTTTGAGTTTTTTTAAAAGATATTGGGAGGTGATTAAAGAAGATGTTTTTAACTTGGTGTGGAGTTTTCAATCGACTAAGGGTTTTCATAAGAGGTGCAATCCATCTTTTATTGCACTTATTCCTAAAGTTAACGACCCTTCGTTTACGACCGACTTTAGACCTATAAGTCATATAGGGTGTCAGTACAAAATTGTAGGGAAGCTCGTTGCTAATCGTCTTGTCGTGGTCATTGATTCGGTTGTGAGTTATGAGCATTCTGCTTTTATCAAAGCGCGTCAAATTCTGGATGGCCCAATAATGTTAAGTGAGATTATTGCTCGTTACAAAGGGTGTGGTAAAAAATTAATGGTTTTAAGGTGGATTTTGAAAAAGCATATGATTCTCTATCATGGGATTTTCTTTTTGAAGTTATGAAGAAGATGAGGTTTAGTGATTTATGGTGTAATTGGATTAGAGCAATTCTTAATTCTTCCAGGGCTTCAGTGTTAGTTAACGGGACGCCTACTAAAGAGTTTGCTATTTTCAGAGGTCTTCGTCAAGGAGATCCTTTATCTTCGTTCATTTTTTTTTGGCCATGGAGGGTTTTCACATGGCTCTTCAAGAGGCTAGCCGGGCAGGGGCTTTTAATGGCGTGCTTCTTGGCTCTTCGAGATTTGAGGTGTCTCATCTTCTTTACGCAGAGTGATGTTGTTTTGCATGTGATTCGGAGGTGAAAAATGCTAGGAAAATAATTCGTATCCTTAAAGTTTTTCAAATGGCGTCCGGGTTAAAGATTGATTTATGTAAAAGTAAATTAATTGGAGTTGGAGTTAATTTTGATAAGGTCCACGAGGTGATTTCTATACTGGGATGTAATTCATTGACATTCCTTTTATGTATCTTGGAGTTCCGATAGGTGCTAACATTAATAGAATTGCCAACTGGCAGTCTATTGTGGACATTTTTTTGAGTAGATTGTCTTCTTGGAAGGCAAAAATATTGTCCATTGGTGGTCGTTTAACTCTTGTGAAGACGGTTTTGGGTAGTATTCAAATCTACCAAATGTCCATTTTTAAAGTGCCTACTAAGATCATTAATCTCTTGGAAGAACTAGGTTTTTGTTGGGGGAAGGGGGGGGGGGGGATATTGGAAGCATTTTTTCTTTTAATAGGGCTTTATTATTCAGGTGGCATTGTCGTTTTTTTTCATAACCCAAATGCTCTTTAGGCTAAAGTGGTCTCGGCTCTTCACTCTTTTACAGGAGGTCATGTGGGTTCTCTAAGTGTAGGCTTGAGCCCGTAGCTGAATATTGTTTGGGGGATTGATCATCTAAAGAAGAAAGGTATTTTTTTGGAGGATTTGTGTACTAGAAAGGTAGGAAGTGGAAGAAGTATTCAGTTTTGGTTGGATAATTGGCATGGATCGAGTATTTTTAAGAACAAATTTCATATACTTTTTTGTCCTGGATACAAATCTGGAGGCGTCTTTATTTGATCGATCCTCAAAAACAAGGGTATTGGACACGTTTGCTAGATATCCTCGTAATGGTGTTACGGGTACTCAATGGGATGAGATGCGTGAAATAACACAGGAGGTGGTTTTATCCGATTCGAATGATTCATACTCATGGGATTTGGATATCAAGGGAGAATTCTCGGTTGCTTCGACCATAAATTTTATTGATGCACACACTTTAGAGTCTTTTAACATTCCTACTAGACGGAACACTTATGTTCCTAATAAGATTAATGCTCATGTTTGGCGGGATGAAAGAGATAAGCTTCCCACTAGATTGAATTTATGTGATAAAGACATTGAATTAGAGTCTTTTTTTATGTCCTGTTTGCTCTCAAATTGGAGAGTTTGCTGGTAATCTTTTCTCTAATTGCAATGTTTTCACCCCTTTATGGAACTTGATAGCTAAGTGGTTGAATATCCCTTCTCTTTCACATGGAACGATTAATGAGATCTTGCATTGGGTTGATTCATTAAAGATGACTAAGGAGCTTTCACTGGTTTTTGAAGCAGTTATTTCTGTCTCATTTTGGATCAGATGAGATTTTTGATAATATTAGGCATTTTTCTTACTTTTGGATTTCTAATAGACGTAGGAAAAATACTATTTCTTGGGATTGTTGGTTGTTATCCCCAAGCATGACTTTGTAAGTTTTTTCTTGTTCTCTAGCTTCTTGCTAGAGGTTTAATAAATCCATTGTCGTTAAAAAAAACATTAACAAAATATAAAATTAAACATAAACTAGTCCTCTCTCTGTCTCTCTCTCCATCATTACATGGGATATAATCTTCTTTCGACAACCATCGAACCCAGTTTTCAAGTTTCATTCTATATGATAGGTTTTTAATAAAAGCATCCATTGGACCCTCCACCTACAAAATAAATATTTACATCTATATAAATTTCAACATAATAACTGTAACAGCCTGAAAATTTAGACGATTTTTCTTCATTTAATATTTATAAATTACAACCATATTTGTTTTTCCAAAATTACATTACATAAACTCATATCCATAAGATAAGAGTGTCCAAAACAAGAAATGCGGAATGTTGGAGAGTACATGATGCGCCGTCAAGCCGGGCCCTTGCCCTTACACCAAGAAATACCTGAAACATCCAACAAACTATAAGCAAACACTTAGTGAGTTCCCAATATACACAAACATATAACCACATAATTCCATGTAACATATATACATAGGATTGCCATGAACTCCCTCGATGGTCTTCACCTGGAATGCCATGGGCTACCCCCATAGTCTTACATCCAAGGGCCATGGGCTCCCCCCATGGTCTTTACCAAGTGTCATAGGCTCCCCCCATGGTTTTAACATAAGTCATAACATGCCAAACAACAACCATTGCCTATTCAGTTATTGAAACCACCTATCAAGTAATGGGCCGACATTAGTGCCTTCGACCCATGGGTATAATGAGAAGAATCACCTTAGTCTGCTGAACACAATAGCTGCTCGACTACCAGTCCAAGATCTCACACTGAACAATTATAGAAATAACCCTAATTAGGATTATGATACAACCTAGACAAGGGCCCAAAATCCTAAGTCCAAGTCCCTCCATGATGGCCCAAAGGTCTTTCCTTTATTAATGGGCCTAGCATCAAAATCCAATTCTATATTGGGCCACAAGGCCCAAAAGGCCCAATCCTGCCAACATTGGCCTAAATAATTAGTTCAGGCCCACAACTCCAGCAAGTCCAGGCCCAAAACAATTAGGGCACAAAGGTTCAAAACTCTGCCGGAAGACCAAGATTCTCTGAGATCATACGCCTAGCGTACCTCTTCAGTACGCTTGGCATACTAGGTTCATGGGTTGTACGCGCAGCGTACAACATAGTACGCCCATCGTACAAGCTGTCTTGCATCCAACTCCATTAGGTTCTTAATGCATGAAGACTTTTCGCTCAAACTTCACATATTAGACGTTTTAAGGGTCCTAAGGCATAAAGTTGGCAACTTTATGCCTTTGTATGCCATATATGCTCAAAACATGGTCTTAAATCATGCATGGATCCATAGAAGTCGTCAAGTTTGCATTCTATCTCATTAAGACCTTTCCAAAGGTCTTAACTCATGCATGGATCCATAGAAGTCATCAAGTTTGCATTTTTATGCTATAATCAAGCCAAAGGACCTCATATCTATCCTTCCTAACCTCTGGAGTTGCCCATATTCTCAATAGAGGATTTATGGACTCAAATGAGGACTTCTAGAAAACCCTAACACAACAAGCAACAAGGATAAGCAATGTGAAAGCTTTTTACCTTCCAAATCTCCCGAAGATACTCTAGATGCAGGATCGTTAGGCTCTTCCCACATTCAAGTCTTGAACATCACCTCCTTCTTCTT